TCAGACTACCACAGAGAAGCTGCACAGGGTGCAAATGCCAATACCAGCCTTGACACCTGCTAACTGTGGAACCCTCGCCACTGAAATCTCCCTGCCTCAGTTGTCCCCACTTTCACAGACTGGCAATACTGCCGTATGCAGGATCGTGGTAAAGTTTAGTCAAAATCAAAGGAAAGATGATGGGCAGTAGAACAAGAAGATGAAAGAATGACCTGTTTCCCTGGAGGTTTTCACTCAGGTACCCAGCATCTCAGGGAACTGACGAAACCCTTCGGCATCCTGAATCAGTGACTGCCATGGACAGGGGCCAGGACTTACTCATTGCTATATCCTTAACCCCAGCATCAAGCTGGTGCTTCATAAATACATGACCAGAGACCAAACAAACACACCAAAGTTCTTTTTGTTGTTGTTGTTTTGTTTTTTGTTTGAGACAAGGTTTCTCTGCATAGTCCTAGCTGTCCTGGAGGAATGTGCTCTGTAGACCAGGCTGACGTCGAACTCAGAGGTCCACCTGCTTCTTCCTCCCCGTGCTGGGACTGAAGGTGTGCGCCACCACCGCCCGGCCATGCTAAATTTCTTTGTTTCTTTTAAGAAAGCAATTTATGGCCGGGCGGTGGTGGCGCACGCCTTTAATCCCAGCACTCGGGAGGCAGAGCCAGGCGGATCTCTGTGAGTTCGAGGCCAGCCTGGGCTACCAAGTGAGTCCCAGGAAAGGCGCAAAGCTACACAGAGAAACCCTGTCTCGAAAAACCAAAAAAAAAAAAAAAAAAAAAAAGAAAGAAAGCAATTTATTTTTTAATAATTTTTCTATGTGCATTGGTGGGTTTTTTTTGTTGTTGTTTTTGGGGGGTTTTTTTTTTTTTGTTTTTTTTTTTTTTGCTTGCATGTATGTCTGTGTGAAGGTGTCAGATCCCATGGAACTGGAGTTACAGACAGTTGTGAGCTGCCATGTAGGTACTGGGAATTGAACCCGGGTCCTTTGGAAGAGCAGTCAGTGCTCTTAACCACTGAGCCAGCTCTCCAGCCCCTGCCAAAGTTCTTAAGCTCTCTAACACCACCACTTTTTTTCCAAGACAGGATCTCTCTGTGTAGCCCTGGCTGCTCTGGAACTTGCTATGTAGACCAGGCTGGCCTCAAACCCAGAGATATCTACCTGCAGGACTCGAGGGTTAAACTCAGGTAGTCACTATAGGCTTGTCCACAGGGACCTTTACGAAAAGCTGGCTTGCCAGCCCCTAAGGGAGCTTTAAAGCGTTTATGATACCCAGGGTGATAGCACATGTGTGAAGCTCCAGCACTTGGTGGATAGAGGCAGGAGGATCAGGAGTTCAAGGTCATCTTAGCCTACAAATCAAGTTGGAGGCCAACCTGAGAACCTATCATTTATTAAAGGGGGTGGAGCGCTAAGGAGATGGCTCAGCGTCCTACGCATGAGGACCTGAATTCTGACCCCCTGCATCCACATAAATGCTGGCCACAGTGCATCTGCAACCTCAGAGCTGGGGGTGCAGTGGAGACAGGTGGATCCCTGGAGCTCCTTAACAGCCAGCCAGGGGCACCAAATTGGTGAGCTCCAGGTTCGGCTAAAGACCTCTTCTAAAAACCAAGGACAAGATGTTGGTTGTGGTCATTTACATCAGTAGGATATGCTAAAGAGGAGGCAGGAGGATCTCAAGATTGAGGCCAGCCTGGGATACACATCTGGGCTGGAGAAATGGTTAAGAACAGCTGAGAGAACCGACTTTTTTCCAGATGACCCAGGTTGAATTCCCAGCACCCACACAGCAGCTCCCAACTGTCCGTAACAACAATTCCAGGGATTTGATACCCTCTTCTGGCCTCTGAGGGCACGGCGCACATGTGGTGCACAGATATGCATACAGGCAAAACATGCATACACATTTTCAATTCCCAGCAACCACGTGGTGGCTCACAACCATCTGTAATGAAATCTGGTGTTCTCTTCTGACCTGCAGGGATACATGCAGACAGAACACTGTATACATAATAAATAAATAAATCTTAAAAAAAAATTAAATAAAAAGTATAAATAAACAAATAAGGTGGGGAATAAGGTTAGGTCTCAAACTCAGGGCAAAAGGCTGAGGTGCCCATTTAACATATCAAAGGGGATGTTGGCCACCAGGTTCTCCCAGCATCTCTCAGTACCTATTTAGAGTCATCCTGGCTGGTATACCCCGCCCCCAACCCTACACTCTCCAGTTGAGTCCCTAGGCTAGGCTTCCCTTCCCCACCTTCCTATCCCTATATAACTTCAGCCATGTTGGCTACCAGCCTCTTCGCCTCTTGGTCTCTGGGTACCTGGTACTCTCTTTGCTCCCTCTCTTCTCCTCCTCGTCTACTCCCCCATCCTCCTTTCTCATGGCCTGGTTCAGTCTGGACCCTTCCAGATGCCTCTGGCTTTCTCCTTCATATCTACAATAAACCTGGGAGCAGGCATGTCCTCATTTTTCTTTTCATCCATCTGGTGCTGAACAGGGACAATTGAGGAGGTCACTCAACATTGACCTGTGGTCTCCATATGCACGCACACAGTTGCATACATACACACTTACAAGGACAGAAACCACCTTGCACCTGCTTTTCAGAGTCTGAATATCACCTTCTGGACACTTCCTATATCTAATTCTCACAAAACCATTAGGCAGCAGGTCCCAAACTTCAAGCAAAACTTCAAAGTGTGCCGCTGTGCCCTTTGGCTCCTTCTGGATGACCCAGGAAGCAGAGGAGTCAGAGAGAACCCAGCTAGATGGGAGGGGTGGAGCAAAGTCCAATAACCTGAGACAAGCCAGAGTCAATCCACCTTAAGGTCCTGCCCAACCCACACTCCATCCTGGACAGGCCTCCCAGCTGTGGCTCCAGCTGAAAATGAACACACATAGAGAGAGGCTAGAGCGCCAACGAACAGCCCGCAACTGCTTCAGTGCAGAACAGGCTGAGAACCGGTGCAGTCAAGTTATGGTACTTCAATCACTAAACCTGACAACGACCAATGCTCCAGGAGGGTCAGGGGTCTACTGCCTTCCTCCAACACAGGGCTGGAAAGCGCTGGCGTGAAACCAGGGGCCCCTACTGCCTCACACCTACGCAGGACCAGAACTAGGATGACCTCTCCGGACAGTCTGGAGTAAATCAAGCCTCGCTCCCCACTACCCAGCCCAGCTCTGAGAAGCAGCACTACAGCAAAGTCAGGGTTCAAGTCCGGCGGTACCATTCGCTCTAACTGGTCCCTTTCTTAGCTTCTGCGTCCATCTTTACAAAGAAACCAGAAAATAAATCAACTCATAGTAAGATTGTGACGATTCGATGAGAAAACCCTAGCAAAGTGAGTCCCCAGAATAATTAGAGTCCAAGAGTTTTGTTGCTGCTGCTCTGTACCACTGCTGGGCCCTACAGGTGGGCCTTGTCTTACTGCCAACTGAGGGTGGGGAAGGGGGACCAGAGGGGGGCTGCCAGCTGCTAGATCCACCAACAGGCCATCTATCTCCTAGGTATTGGCTCTCAACTTGAAAGTAAAGTGGGATACCTGCCTGGATTTTATACCCATGCAGCCACCTGCCCCACAGGCGTTACTGTCTACCAGCCCGTGCCACTCAGCGGGCTCCTCCTCCTTCAATCCCAGCCCTGCCTGACTGGGGTGTCGGAGCACGTGGCCCCAGCCCTGGGGAGCCATTATGCTCCTAGAGCAGCGCGGCATGCAGGAAAGGGACTGTAGGTTTCAAACTTAAGCGCGCTGCAGAAACATCTCCTTGCGTGCACCACCATCCCCGCTCCGACCCAGCGGGCTTGTAGGGTTCAATGAACAGATGCCAGGGCCGGCAATGGAAGTTCCAGGCATAAGCATTTAACAAGAGTCCAGGGTGATCTGGCCACTGGTTGGCCGCGATTTGGTAGAGGATGGATCTGGGGCAACCTAAGTAGGGCCAAGCTCACTAAGCGGTTTCTTGGAAGAACTTGCAGACCTCCGACCACCCACCCGGTCAGAAAACCCAACGCTTTGCGTTTATGATTAGGGAACAGACGTGGGACCGCAAACTTTGCAAGAGAGACCCACATGCAACAGGGAATAGACCTGAACCTAGAAGCAGCCTCAGGTACTCCTTTCCCAAAAAGCCTCCCCACCTGGCCTGCCTAACCCACCCAGTTGGCTACGGCTGAGCTTTGTGCAAGTAAAGCGTGGCCCCGAAGCGCCTACAAGTCCCACAATGCAGCACCGACCCGGCATGGAGAACTACAGTTCCCGCGAGGCCACGCGCGCAGAGGTCCGCCTACTCCAAGAGGGCTGCAGAGTCACGTCCAGGCCTCGCTAGTAAACAGCGCCCGGACGCGGGCGGCGGGCAAGCAAGCTAGTGACTGCCAACGTGTGGGGGACCGCGGCTTCCCTGCTGGCAGCGCGGCCACTAAGGGTTCACGTACGGCCCGCAGCCCCAGGCGAGCACGCCCCCAACCCTGCTGCAGCCCTGTTCTCTGCAAACGCTCACACCACCCGGCTCCCCGCCCCCCCCCCCAGCCTGGAGCCGCGGCATGGCTGCATTGTAGCTGTCCTCAGGCACGCCCCGGACCCCCAGAAAACCTCCTTAGAAGAGGGTTCCCAGAAAGCGCGAGGAAGCAGGGAAAGGAAGGAAGCCAAAGCGGGCGGGGGGGAGGAGGAAGCGCGGGGTGAAAGCCACCAGCAGCAAGCATGGCCGGGACTGCTGCAGCACCACGTGGGTCTGTTTGCAATTTACAAACGTCGCGACTCGCCCGCCTGCAGCGGACAAAAGTGGCCAGGGCCTTTCGGGGTCCCCATGTTCTGAGGGAAGAGAGTCCCCAAGCAGCGCGAGCAGGGAACACGAGACTGCAGCCGACCCAGTGGCTAAGAAAGGCGAGCGAGGTCGGAGGCGCGGGCCATGCGTGCGCACACGCGCACCCGCCCGGGCGGGCTGGCCGGGGGCTGCAATGGGAAGAAGGGGTTGGGGGGGAGGAGCAGTACACACCTACAGAGCCCTCCTATCACTTCTTTCTCTGTTTTCCTGAAATGTTGCAAAGAGGGCACCTTCTGAGTGGGCACCATGAAATACTCCATAGCGATAGGCCCCCCTCCTCTGCACGAGCCAGGTCTCGCGGTCAGCCGGAGAATGCAAGATGGAAATCCGAATCAAAGGGCAGCGCCGGACGGAGGTGCAGAATCGGCCGGTCCCAGATGCTGGCGGCAGCAGCAGCGGCGAGGGGAGGGAGGCGGGCGGGAGGGGCGGGAGGGAGGTCTCTCCAGCCTGCCTCCCCGGGCGTGTGTATGTGTGTGTGTTTGCAGCTGATCAGATGTCTGTTTCAAGGCGGGAAACAGCTGGTGAAAACTCAGCACTCCCCCGGCCTCCTTCCGCGGAGTAAGGAATTGCATGTAAACAAAGGACTATTTGCAGCGCCCCCCCACGGGCGGCTGGATGCCGGGGCGAGAAGGGCGCAGGCTCCTTGCGACCGACTGCAACCTGGGTCTGCAGACCTAACCCAGGGATCAGGGGTTCCCGGTCGCCAGCTGGCTGTGAGGGACACGGTGTGAATGGAGTGAGCAGCGGCCCAGCTACATGCGCCACTATGGGTGATGAGGTCCATCAGCTGACAGGTTGGCAAGCGTAGCTAAAAAGGAAAAAAAAAAAAAAAAAAAAAGGCCAGCCACCGCGCGGGATCCCAGACTGTGCAGCCCAGGGTCCAGTGGGGACTGCCCGGCGCAGGGTCTGTGCGCACCGCTGCCCTGGGGGACGCGCGCTGGGCGGGGCTGCAGCGGCAAAGGGAAGGCTCCCTCGGGTGCGTGCTTCGGGCTTTTGCTTTTTCATGATTGCCACTGCACAGAGCGGAGCTGCTCTGGCGCGCTCCCTTTCGAGCCGACCTGGGCCCCCTGGAAACTTGCGTCATAGCCACTGCTTCCCACAAGTAACTTGGGGCTGATTCTGACCACCCGCCAGCCTCCTCCCTTGGTCTCTGCCTAGCTGGCTTCCCAGCCCGGACTCTGGCTGGAGCCTAGGAATTAGAGTGCGAAGGGTACAAATGGCAAAGGCAGGTGTGCAGGGCACCTCGGATGCTGGGGCTGCCCTAGGAAGGAAGACCAAGAGGGAAGGGAGGGAAGGGAGGGAAGGGAGGGAAGGGCGGAGGCAAGCCAAAACAGCAGCGGCCCCTGGGGGCAGGCTGCCAGCGCGGCCCGAAGATCCATTAGAGGTCTGGTGGTGGCTGCCAGGTCCTGTCCTGGCTCCTTCACTACCTTACTTTTCGGTTTCGCGCGCAGCGGGCTGCAGCTTCTCATTCATGCGGAAGGCGGGGTGGAACTTGCTCCACCGCCAGAGGGCGCGCTCTACTATTGGGGGGCGTGATGGTCTGGGGAGGGGAGGAGGAGACACTTTAGGGGTGAGCTTCCGTCCTCTAACACGCCCCCACCTTCCGGTCCCAGGCCCTCCCCAGGCTCCTGGAGGGCTTGGCCCCAGGCTCAGGAAGCCCACGCCTGCCTTGGAATGTCCTTACTCCTGCTCAGCGCCTTTCCCAGCCCCATCCGCCTTCCAAGGTTCCACCCAAATCGCACCTCTTAGTTGAAATACTTCTATTAATAACAATTGTTAGTTATTATTAGGAAACACTGTTATTCGATATTGCCAACATCCAGGACATGCCTAGTTAGTTGTGAGTGCGTGTTTGTCAGACTTCAGATCAACCTATTAAGCAATTTCTCTAAGTTTAGATCTCAGATCAGTTAGCACTTAATTCTCAGGGAGACTTACGATGCAGCACATCCTAGCTGTGCAGTGCACACCTGTAATCCAGCATTCTAGCACTTGGGGACCAAAGATGGAAGATGTGCATCCAAGGATAGCTGTAGAGATTGTCTCTAAAAGAGACAAAAGGGAAGAAAACAGGAGGGTAGGTGAAATGGCCCCATAGGTAAAGATGTTTGCTGTCAAGTTTGATGACCTGTGTTCCATTCCCAGAACCCCCATGGTACAAGGAGAAAACCAACTCCCACAAGTTGTCCCATGACCTTGACATGTGTGCCATGTCACAGATGTACATACATAAAATTAAAAGAAAATTTAAAGGAAGGAAAGAATATGAAAAGGAGGCATCTTTGAATCCTTGGGAAGCTCAATTTTTTTTTAATGTGTATGAATGTTTCACCTGTAAGTACATCTGTGTACCAGGTGTGCACCTGGTGCCCTATGAGGCCAGAAGAGGGCATTGGAACCCCTGGAACTGGAGTTGGAGATGGTTGTGAGCTGGGTGCTGGGAATTGAACCCAGATCCTCTGGAAGACCAGCCAGGGCTAGCTGCTTAGTCATCTCTGCAGCCCTTAGGTTTTTTGGATTTGTTTGTTTGTTTGTTTGTTTGTTTGTTTGTTTATTTTTGTTGGGGGGGCAGGTTTTTTTTCCACTTGGAAAATGTTAGCATTTAATTAACCTCCCTGGGTGGCACCTCCAACACCCTTTGTCTTCTCTTCAGCTCTTCTGCTGAAACATTTGGCTTTCACAATGACAGGCTGCTTAGGGAGCTGTTCCTTCCCCAGAACTGTGGAGTAGCCCCAGCTCACAGCATCGATGATGGGAGAAGCTCCAGTCTTGTTCTTTGCAGGGTTGACCCGTGTCTGCTCACTGACCAGTGTCCACAATGTATCCAGGTTGACAGTCGGGCAGAAGCTCTGGTTCCTCTTTAAGTGGTAATGCCTCATACCAGCTTTCCCAAAGTAACCTGAATGGTATTTGAGAGGTTGGTCCTGTGGTGATGCATGCCTCCAGCATTCCCGAGGCCTCCTGGGTGCTTGCGTTGTTTACCAATGCAGCCGTGGATCACGTAGCCCCGGAGTTTCCGGGTCTTCCTCGGTCTGGATGGCATGGCAGCGGCAGAAAGGAAAGAGCTGTTTTTGTTTTTTGAAACAGGGTCTCCTGTATTCCAGACTGACCACAAACACCTCCTCCCAAGAGCTGGGATAATAGGTATGCACCACCCAAGACTTTTATATCCTACAACCACCTCCCACCCCTCTATAATCAGGGCCTTATTTAGACTTTCAAGTACTCTTCTGAAAACGCACCCCTCCTGTCACCCTTGATTAGGTGGGACCTTGAGTTGATCCAGGTTTGTCTCCCAGAAAAGAGGGAGTGTACTTTGGCCCCTTCCTTCCAAAAGAGATGACATGGTGAAGGGGACCCACAAAGACTCTAATTCTTGGAGTGCTTTGAGATGTCAAAATCTAAAGGCTGACATTCGGATGCTGGAGAGATGACTTAGCAGGTAAGAGCATTTGCTGGTGTGCCAGAGGACCAGAGTTCTGTGCTAGCCCCTGTCTCACCTGGCTCACAGCTACCTGTAACTCCATCTGGAGGAAATTTAATGCCCTCTTCTGGTCTCCTCAGGTGCCACACACATGTGCAGATGCACACATACACATAATTAAAAATAAAAAATAGTGCCAGGAGTTGTGGTGGCTCACACTTTTAATCCCGGCATTCCAGAAACAGAAGCAGGCTGATCTCTGTGAGTATGAGGACAGCTTGAGTTATGTAACAAGTTCCAGGCCAGGCAGCCTTACACAGTGAGAATTTGCCTCAAAAAGTGGGGGGTTGGGGGGAAGTGGGTGCTGGAGAGATGGCTCAGTGGTTAAGAGCACTGGCTGCTCCTCCAGAGGACCCAGATTTAATTGAGAGCACCCACAACCATCTATAACTCCAGTTCCAGGGGACCCAGTGCCTTCTTCTGGCCTCTTTGGGCACCAGGCACGCACCTGGTACACAGACATATATGCAGGCAAAACACTCATACATTAAAAAAAAACTTGAAAGACTAGCAATATGACTCAGCAGATAAAAACATTTGCTGCATAAACTTCGTCACCTGATTTCAATCCCTGGACCCTATGAGGGATTTCTACACATGCTCACACCATGGTTGGTGTATATGTGTATTCATTCACACGCACACAAATAATACCAATAATAAGGTTTCTGGGGCATAACAGTGCATGCCTTTAATACCAACACTCTGAAAGAGAGGCAGGTAGATCTCTGCAAGTTTGAGGCCAGCCTGATCTACATAGTGAGATCCAGGGTAACAAAGTGAGATCCTGTTAAAAAAAAACAAGAATAGGGCTGGAGAGATGGCTCAGAGCACTGACTGCTCTTTTAGAGGTCCTGAGTTCAATTCCCAGCAACCTCGTGGTGACTCACAACCATCTATAATGAGATCTGGTGCTCTCTCCTGGCATGCAGGCAGAACACTATATACATAATAAAGACATCTTTTAAAAAAATAAAAACTACAACCACACTTATTGTAATGGCTTAGGCCTGAAATTTGAGCACTTGAGAAGATGAGGCAGAAAGACTGAGTTCGAGGCCAGTCTATGGTACAGTGGGAGATTCTGTCTGAAAAATTGAATAAACAGCCGGGCGGTAGTGGCTCATGACTTTAATCCCAGCACTCAGGAGGCAGAGGCAGGCAGATCTCTGTGAGTTTGAGGCCAGCCTGCTCTACAGATCAAGATCTAGGACAGGCTCCAAAACTACACAGAGAAACCTTGTCTCGAAAAGCCAAAAGAAAAGGAAAGAAAAACCAAAAAGAAAAAAAATAGAACAAACAAAAATCCTATTCCTCAGGAAGAGCTTCAGAGCGGCTACAGTTTTCTTCCCAATCTTTCTTTCTTTTCTCCAACCACCCCCGCTCCCAGGATAGGGTTTTTCTGTAGCTTTGGCTGTCCTGGAACTCACTTTGTAGACCAGCCTGGCCTCAAACTCATAGAGATCTGCCTACCTCTGCCTCCCGAAGGCTGGGATTAAAGGTTTGCACCATCACTGCCTGGCTACCCAACTTTTCTTACTGTTTAAATTATGTCTCTGTGTGTCTTTGAGGGGGGTATGATGTGTACATGTGTTCTGGTGCCAGCAGAGATCAGAGATGTCTTATCTCCTGGAGCTGGAGTTACAGATGGTTGTGACCCACAAAATGTGGACGCTGGGAACTGAACTTTGTCCTCTCCAAGAGCAGGGCATGCTCTTAACTGCTGAGTCATCTCTCTGGCCCCTGCACTTCTTCTTATTTTTATTTTGCAGTACTGGGACTTTGTACATACTAGGCAAGTACTTTGTTACTGAGTCATGTTCCCCAGCCCTGCTGTATGTTTTAATCCCGGTGGATGAGGGATAGATTTTTCCTGTTTCTAAACTGCTGCCCTACATGTGTCTAGGGTACTGTTCTTTTGAGTTCCTATTGCTACATAACAAATTTCCACAAGGCTAGTGGGTTAAAATTGTATCAGGTTGCAGGGCGGTGGTGGCGCAGGCCTTTAATCCCAGCCCTTGGGAGGCAGAGGCAGGCAGATCTCTGTGAGTTCGAGGCCAGCCTGGTCTACAAAGCGAGTTCCAGGAAAGGCAATGCTACACAGAGAAACCCTGTCTCAAAAAACAAAAAAAAAAAAAAAAAATTAGGTCTTGGGATGTACCTCAGGACAGTGCTTACCTAGCATGCATGAAGCCCTGGGTTTGATCTCTAGTACCACACAAACCAATGCCTTTTGTGCCAGCACTCCAAAGGTGGAGGCAGGAAAATCAGAAATTCAAGGTCATCCTTTTGCTTCAAGGCCTGTCTTAAAAACAAACAAAACCCTATACTCACATATCAATTATAATAAACGAGTAGCTGTGTGCCAGTGTTCTGTGACAAAACTTCCCCAGGGTAGACACAACATACATCTACTCACCCCAGATAGGGAAGCCCACGACAGACATGGATACCACCAAAGTCCAGTTTGGTGAACCAATGAGTGTTATTGGACTTACAGGAGCATGGGTCAGGGGTACTTACAGGGGCATGGGTCAGGGGTACTTACAGGGGCATGGGTCAGGGGTACTTACAGGGGCATGGGTCAGGGGTACTTACAGGGGCATGGGTCAGGGGTACTTACAGGGGCATGGGTCAGGGGTACTTACAGGGGCATGGGTCAGGGGTACTTACAGGGGCATGGGTCAGGGGTACTTACAGGAACATGGGTCAGGGGTACTTACAGGGGCATGGGTCAGGGGTACTTACAGGAGCATGGGTCAGGGGTACTTACAGGAACATGGGTCAGGGGTACTTACAGGGGCATGGGTCAGGGATACTTACAGGGGCATGGGTCAGGGGTACTTACAGGAACATGGGTCAGGGGTACTTACTAGGAGGGGCATGGGTCAGGGGTACTTACAGGGAGGGGCATGGGTCAGGGGTACTTACAGGGGCATGGGTCAGGGGTACTTACAGGGGCATGGGTCAGGGGTACTTACAGGGAGGGGCATGGGTCAGGGGTACTTACAGGGGCATGAGTCGGGTACTTACAGGGAGGGGCATGGGTCAGGGGTACTTACAGGGGCATGAGTCAGGGGTACTTACAGGGAGGGGCATGGGTCAGGGGTACTTACAGGGGCATGAGTCAGGGGTACTTACAGGGGCATGGGTCAGGGGTACTTACAGGGAGGGGCATGGGTCAGGGGTACTTACAGGGGCAGAAGTGACTCAAAGACAGACAGCTGCATTACCAAGACCCACCCCAGCTCACAGCATCCGGGAAACCCAGAGCACGCTGCACAGCCTGCAGACAGTTCAACAGCTTGGAGAGCGTCCTTTCTGAGTGGTTTTGGTCTAAGCCCCTTCCAGGCTGTTAGACTGGTTTCTGCTTCTCTCAGGCAACTGGTCTGGTCTTGAAGGGAGCAGGCAAAAGCACCTTGGCCTAAGTACTGCCATTTTGACTTCAGACTCCATTTTGCCTGTAGGGTGAAGTAAAGTTCAGATTCTCAAGTCCTAGGAGAGCTGAGAACTGACCAACCTCCTCCCTCAACCATAGAAATAGTCCTTAGGCATCTTTAGTTCTTTAGAAACATTGTGGCTGTTCCTAACAACAGAAGAAACAAATGAATCTGATTGGTTGGACTGAAAGGCTTACATTGTATATCAGTTGACAATGAAGGAACATTCAAGGAAGCCCCTAATTTCTAAATCCTGAATGAGGAAAATTGTAACTGTAACTTGGCAACAAATGTTTGCCAATTTTATGCTTGTAAACCCCACTTCTGCCCCTACTAGGGGCTGTCAGGAGAAACAAGGCTCCCGAGTCCTTGTCTTGCAATCCTGATCAATCAGTGACCCACTTTGCTTATGTTATGAACTATTAAAATCTTTGAAACTCATAAGTGTTGTCTCTCTCCTTCCTCGTGAAGCATAACGGGCTAGGTATAACAGTCTCAAGAGTTTTCATTGCAAGTTTTCTGATCTTCGGAAAGGGATTCTCAGTTTTTATTACTCTGGCACAGCAGATCATAGTGAATCTGATCAGTTTCAGGGACTTCCTGAAGCTGTTTTGAGTTGTTTGTTCCTGATTAAGGAGCTTACCTACAGGGAATGTTTCAATCTAGGATTAAATTATTACACAACAATCAGTACCATAACTAGAATTTCATCATTTTCATGTGCCACAAAATATAATTAATTTTTTTTAATTATGGCACACTTTAGGTCACAAGTCTAGGCCATGTGACTAAGCCAGACTCTGTGTTTGGAGCCTTAGTGGATGAAATCAAGTGTAGGCATCTGAGACTTGGGATGCTCCTCCAAGCCCTCTGATTGTTGTTTGCAGAATTCTTCCTTTTGGCTGTAGAGCTGAGGTACCCACTGTCTCGATGACTCGTCTAGGGACCATTCTGACCTCTTCAAGTCCTTGTCCCATGGTCCCCTCCATGTACGCAACATTCCCTCACTGCAACCTCTCTTTCTCTGTGTCTCTGTCTCTGCTCTCTTTAAGGTTGGATATTAAGTTGCCCAGGCATTACTCTTGAACTTCTGGACTCACGTGGTCCTCCTGCCTCTCTCTAAGTCGCTGGGCCTACAGGTACCCACTCCTGTGTCTACTCAAGCCTTCTCTTGCTTGGACTCGATAACGTCCTCGTCTCCAAACAGCTGGAGAAAGCCCTGCTCGTGGAGGGTTTGCACGACTAGGCTAGGTCAGGCCCACCAAATGATCTCTCCAAGATCGCCAACCACAGGAGTCATAGATTCATAGCTCCACCACACTGGCCCAGGGGATTAAAACAAGATGAGAGGCTAGGCGTGGTAGTACATACCTGGGATACCTGGGAAGCTGAGACAGATGCACCCTGAGTTCTAGGATAACCTGGGCAACATAGGGAGTTTAAGACCAGCCTGTACATACTGAGACCCTGTTTCAGAAAAGAAGAAGAAAGAAGGAAAGGAGAAGCAGCCCTGAGGGGCACTGGGTGTCTTAGGGTTTCTAGTGCTGTGAAGAGACACCATGACCACGGCAACTCTTACAAAGGAAAACATTTAATTGGGGTAGCTCTCTTACAGTTCAGAAGTTCAGTCCATTATCATCATGGTAGGACATGGTGGTATGCAGGCAGACATGGTGCTGGAGAAGTAGCCCAGTGTCCTACATCTTGGCTTGCAGGAAGTGGTCTAAGACACTGGGCAGTATCTTGAGCATATATGAGACCTCAAAGCCCACCTCCACAGTGACACACTTCCTCCAACAAGGTCATACTACTCCAACAAAGCCACACCTCCTAGTAGTGCCACTCCCTTTGGGGGCCATTTCCTTTCAAACCACCACACTGGGGATCATAGATATTCTGTTACATGTTACACAAAGGGGGACATGAAAAAGAAACAGCAAATTAAGAGACTTTCTAAGGGCATACAGAAAACTGGAGACGGATCTGTAATGGTTAATTTTAATTGTTAACCTGACACAATCTAGAATTACCTGGGAAGTTGAGTCTCAGTGAGAAACTGTCTAGATCAGGTTGGCCATGGGTATGTATGGGTGGCATTGTCTTGATTCCACTAATTGATGTGGGAAGATCCAGTCCCTAGATAGCGTCACCTGCCAGTTTGTTGCTGCCCAGTTATCTGAGGGAGACTCAGTTGGGGGATTGTCTTAATCAGATTGGTCTGTCAGCGTGTTTGTGGGGCATTTTCTCAATTGCTAATCGATGTAGGAGGACCCTCTCCACTGTGGGCAGTATGTCCCTAGGCACATGGATCCGGGCTATATAGAAAAGCTAGCTGAGGATCTCTGTGAGTTTGAGGCCAGCCTGGTCTACAGAACGAATTCCAGAACAGCCAGAGCTACACAGAGAAACTCTGTCTCAAAAAAAGAAGAAAAAAGAAAAGCTAGCTGAGCATGAAAGAGGGAGCAGGCCTGCCATTAGCCTTCCTGTGTGGTTCCTGCCTCCTACCTGACTTCCCTCAGTGATGGATTATGACTGGAAGTAGGCATGGAAATTAACCCTTTCTTCCCCAAGCTGATTTTGGTCAGGATGTTTGTTACAATGACAGACAGCAAATCAGAACACCCAGGGTAAAAGTGGGCAGCACTATCCTGTGTTTGGGTACATATATACATATGATATGCATGTGTGTGTGTGTGTGTGTGTGTGTGTGTGTGTGTGTGTGTGTATGTGTGTGTGTTATATAAGAGAGAATGTGAGCTGAATATCGCATGCATGAGTTAACTCGGTTTCTCACTGCTCTGGACTGGGGATGCAGTGACTAGCACTTCACCTGGAATCCTGACTATAACCTAGAATTGTGATCTGAAATTAACCCTTACTCACCTAACTTGCTTTTTTTTTTTCTTTTTTCTTTTTTGGTTTTTCAAGATGGAGTTTCTCTGTATAACAGCCCAGGCTGTCTTGGAACTCACTCTGTAGACTAGGCTGGCCTCGAACTCACAGAGATCCGCCTGCCTCTGCCTCCCGAGAGCTGGGATTAAAGGCGTACGCCACCACCGCCCGGCCACCTGTTTCTTCAAAGCAAGAGGAAATGAAACTAAGAGTGCACCAGCAGGATCGTCCCTAGCTTCAATGTGACCACTTTTCTTGTACGTATGTGCACTATATATAGTAGGAACAAGAGGAGGGATGGGCATGGACCAGTTAAACCCTGGTATGCTCTGTGGGAAAACAGAATCTGTTGCGGATAAGGAGTGGCCGCCAGCAGGGCCTGGTGGCGCATGCCTTTAATCCCAGCAGTCGGGAGGCAGAGGTAGGTAGATCTCTGTAAGTGCAAGGCCCCCTGGACTGCACAGTTAGTTCCAGGAAAGTCGGGGCTCTGTAGAGAGAGCCCGTCTCAAAAGCATCAAAATAAAATTTAAAAATTTTTTTAATTTTTAAAAATTAAAAAATTTTTAAAAATTTAAAAATTCTTTAAGGAGACTTAAAGAATTAAAACATCAATGTCTGGGAAAGGACCCGACGATCTGAGTGGGACAAGGTTAAATGCCCCTGTTGGGATTAGGAGCAAATCCAGTATCCTCAACACCCAAGTCACCGGGCCCAACAAAGCTGGCACCCCAAACCACTAGAGGGCGCCTGGCACACACGCCGCTTTGTGGACAACCACCCAGGAACATGTGGGGCTGACCAGAACATTCATACTGGGGTGGCCACTCTGGCATCCCCAAAGCCCTTCAGATCCAGGGAGTACCCCGCTTGACTAAAGGCCTTAAAAGCCCTGAGCTCTGTGTATTCACCTCCATCTAACTTTGGTCATAAACCAGACCTGGACACCAGCCACTCATCTGTGTCTCGCCCTCTGCCGGGGTTGACTAATGCCCCTCGTCTCTGTCAGCCACACCCTGCCTACCCTTCTTTTGAGCGTTTAGCCCCTCCCTTTACACTCGGGTCCCTAGTGATTTCTCCCCTTGGGACAGTCCCTACTTCTCAATGTACCAGCAGGCAATGCAACCAGGTTCTTGGGCTACATCACCTGGGAGCAAGCCCTTTTTAAACATTCGGTTTGTAGCTGCATGCTAGACTGTTTCTGATTCAGTCAGAAATGGCTGTGACTGCTTTCTCAGTTGATTCTCAGGAAGCAGTGGAGCAGTTACAATAGTTAGAATAATTCCACCAGGAGACATTGCATGTAGTGCCACATGCTTGTAAACTCAGCAAATTTGGGAAGCTTAGGCAGAAAGGTCTTGAGTTCAAGGTCAGCCTGAGCTACCTTAAGATCTTGCACGCGCGCACACACACACACACACACACACACACACACACACACACACACACACAGGAAAAGAAATGCCAAGAGGTAGACTAGGAACCCAAAGCATGTAAATATCAAAGACTCAAAATCAACATCAGCAGTGAAGATAGGTCAGTACTGAGGCACCTGAAGCCCAGCTGTGCCCCTCCCACCATGAGTGAAGCAGGAAGGTACCTGAGGTTACTAGTCATGTATAAGGAAGTTAGCCAAGGAGCCAGTGGGGTGTGGCTGGAGAGGCCCAGGAGGCCACAGGAACCCAGAAGGGTATGTGTTTTGAGTTCAAAAGAAAGGTAGGGAGCTGAGGGGACAGGAGAGAAATACTGGGGTACTGTTTCCAGGTCCCATAGGCACCTGACTGTCCTCTCATGGAGTGGACAAAGGTAGGGGACACAATACTGAGTCCTTTTTCTCTTGTTTTCTTCCTTTCAGTGCTGAGGAGGGAACCCACAGCTTTGCTCATATTAGGCAAGTGGTGACTGGAACAAAATGACCAAGAACTGGTCAGGCTGGAAAGTGACAGGGGCTGCCGTCATGATGAGCCAGCCCTGGTCTTTAAAGTGGGAGAGAGAGCCAGAGAACCAGAAGGCACTTTCCCTGGGGAGGGACAGGCTCAACACCCCAAGGCATCCTGGGAGGCACATGGGTGTAGAGGCTGCAGCATCTGAGCAACCACCTGTGAACCCAATACCGCTCTGGCCAGTTTTCA